AACTACAAGTGCTGGCGAGGGTGTGGAGAAAGGGGAGGCCTGGTGCACCGCTGGTGGGAATGCAGACTGGTGCAGCCACCATGGAAAACAGTATGGAGGTTCCTCAAAAGATTAAAAATGAAACTGTCTTATGACCCAGTGGTTCCACTTTTGGGTATATATCCAAAGAAGCCCAAAACACTAATTCGAAAGAATATATGCACCCTTATATTCATTGCAGCGATATACACAATAGCCAAGTTTTGGAAGCAACCCAAGTGCCCATCAATAGTCAAGTGGATTAAAAAGCAGTGGTACATATATACAATGGAATATTAGTCAGCCATAAAAAATAACAAAATCTTACCATTTGTGACAGCACGGATGGACCTAGAGGGCATTATGCTAAGTGAAATAAGTCATTCAGAGAAAGGCAAATACCATATGATTTCACTTATATGTGGAATATACAGAACAATATAAACAAACAAACAGAAAGACTCATAGATACAGAAAACAGACTGATGGTTGCCAGAGGGGTGGGGACTTGGGGAACTGGGTAAAAAGGTGAAGGATTGAGAAGTACAGATTGGTAGTTAAAAAATAGTCATGGGGATGTAAAATACAATTTAGGAAATATAGTCAATAATATTGTAATAACTATGTATTGTGCCAGTTGCATACTGGAAACATCAGGGAGAACACTCTGTAAAGTATGTGATTGCCTAACCACTATGCTGTACACCTGAAACTAACACAAAATAATATTAAATGTAAACTGTAACTGAAAAAAATTGAAAAATTAAAAAAAAAAATTTATTCTACTTCCTTGTATTTTGGTTCATTTTAATATTTCCTCTTGTCTTTAGTGTTCTGCAATTTCAGTAAGACATGTTTAAATGGATTTATTTCTATGTGTTGCACTAATATGGCTGTATTTCATGAACATGAGAATTTATCATTTCTGGAAAATTATCACCCATTATCTATTCAAATGTTGCCTTTCCCCTATTCTCTGTATTTTCTCCTTCTGGAACTCCTACCTTCTTATTCCATGACTCAATAATGTTTATATTTTTAATTTCTTTATGTCTCTGCATGCTGGATAGTATCATCAATTATGCTATGGCTAATCTGCATTTTAACCCTTTCACTGAGTTTTTTATTTCAAAATTGAATTTTCATTTATATATTTTCTATTTTTTTTAAAGTAAGTCTTATTCTTTCCTTAGAGTTTGATTTCTTCTTATACAGTCAACATTTTATTTTTATATTCTGTATTTTATATTTTTTTTCATGTTGTTACATTATCTCAAGTTCCTAAGATCCAACAAGGCTGTTGTATCCCATGCTGACTCTCCCTCAGGGACTGCATCATCTGCTGACTCTCATTCTTGGTTGACTAGTTCCTTGTGTGTTTTGTCACATATTATAGTGAGCACATCTTTAGCAGTGCTCTTCTATCTTTTGCCATTTTCTTGAAAATCCTTAGTAGTTGAGACGGTTGGTACTATTCTTTCAAAATGGTTTTCTGCTTTACTCTTCTAGGAACCCTAAGGATATTTTTCAGCTTGAAGATCTCCAGGTCAGCTAAGTAGTGTAAAAAATAAAAGCAAAAACAAAAACTCACATGACATGCGGGCCCACAGAATAAAATTTTTAAGGAAAGATTTATTTTCCTCTTACTAATAAAGTTTCTTGTTCTCAGTTGGTGCCGGTGGGTATATTATTCTAGCCTAAACTTCTCATAAAAATTAGGATCTTGGATTTATGCAGGGGCAGAGATGTCTCAGTCTTAACTCTCTGCCTCATCTGGATCCAAGGTCTTACCTCCTCTCCATTTCATATGGACACTGGACTCTAACCTCCTGGTCGCTCAGATCCATTATCCCTGAGTCAGCCACAGCATCAATTTATAGGCTATACTCTGCCTTTTAATTTCTTTGCTTTTGGCACATGGTAATCCCTTTTACTTTTTGCAAGACTGGGTAATGTTTTAAAATAATTTAAATGTTTTATCCAGTATTGCTAGGTATTAATAACCATACATTTTTTTATTATCTCAGTCTACTGTATCGTCAGAGCTTTAGTTTACAGACAGTTTACTGTGTCATTATGCTTAATTAGTCAGTCTTTACCAAATAGAACGTTTAATTGGACTGTGTTTCAGATCTTGAGAATTTAGAAACCCTTAACGTGACTTTTTATGTCCATAATTCTTCCTCATGTTCAGATGTGATGTACAAGAGACATGTTTTTAAGTTCTAAATAATACACGTCCTAGGATTCTGGCAGAACATGAACCATTTCTTGCTAATCACCATTACAAAATCACCAAAACAGAGTGTATTAATTGCTTACCAATTAACAGGTAGAAAAAGGAAGAATTTGAGTCTTTTTCTTCTAAACACCATTTCAAAATGTTACTACTTACACTTAGTAAGGTCTGAGAATTGCTTTCAAGCAAGATACTTTGCCCCAATTTTTAGTAGCAAAGCCTTATAAATACATGTAAAAATTGTTCTATATAAGTGAAGTATGAAACAGAATTTTTTAGCAAGGGTCACTGCATTTATACTACAGAAATGACAACTTGCAAAAATTTGTGATCTTAAAAGGGGAAAATCTCAATGATTTGAGAAGACAGTAATACCCATATCTGAAGTGTACTAATGACTGCCACTTTCAAAAATAATACACCTCCCTCTCTTGGAAAATACATGAAATTGTTTAAATTACAGGTCAAAACCATATGGAAGGGTATTTTGTACTCTCTACCAAAGGGAAATCATTTTCTTTAGCTCTTTCTCTAACACTACAGGTGTGAAGAAGTACTGTTGTTTATTGGTTAAAATTTTTCAGTTACTTGACTTTTTTAACTGGAAAAAAATGAAAACCTTGCAGAGTAAATAGTAATAAAAAGTAATTGTAAAATCTTTGGGGAATTATAGATTTAGACAAGGCCCAAGTCTAATTCTGGAACAAGGTTCACTTAAATTTATCACAGTACGTCTGGCGTGACTTGCGGGGGTGCTCCTTATGAACTAAAGCACATTCACATCTTTCTGTTCCTCTCTCTGCGGCCCAGGTCTAGCCAGTAAGAGTGATCTGGAATTCCTGATCTAAGGGAGGAAGATACTTACTCTCTAAATAGTACATAATGTAAGAACTAGGTAAATCAGTAAGGCAGTAAACTACATTTGAAGAAAACATTAGGGAAAGCTTTCAGGACATGATATTATTGCTTTATTTAGTCTCTCTCACTACTAATATATTACCACAAGTTTTTAAAATCTAATTATTTTTCCCACAGACAGTAACAAGTGATCACAGACTAATCAAGTGATGAAAAGCAAAAAGAAAAGACTTTGTCTATGAAACAGTCTAATTTTTAATTCCTTAACTTAGCCACCGGTAGCATTACCCTCTTAGTAGATCTCAAGTCTGAGCCAATAAAAATAAAAGTCCATCTATGTTTTAAACATATGCTCTTAAATCAAATTTGAAAATAGCTGTATTCACAATATCCAGGATTGGTCTATTTATCTTTCTATTTTTTTTCTTCACATACATCTCCTTGCTACTCAGAGTGTGGTCCACGGACCAGAAGCCTCCACATTTCTCAGCGATTGTTAGAAATGCAGAATCTTGGGCTGTACCTAGAGCCTACTGAATCAGAATCTGCATTTTAACAAGATTGCTAGGTAATTCATAGGTCCATTAAAGATTGAGAAGCTCTGTACTGTAAGGAATAGGAATATTCTATAATTTAAAGTCCAATACAAAATTTCTTTTAGGGGTGATGACAATGTCCTGTAATTAGACAGTAGTGACGATTTCACAACTTTGTGGATACAATAAACACCACTGAACTGTGCAACTTAAAATGAATTGTATAGTATGTGAAATATACCCTAATTTTTTAAAAAGAAAAAAAGTACATACACACAGAGAAAGGAAAAAAATACACTAGGCATTTCCTACAAACCAATACCCCTACATAAAATGTCCCATCTTAAAAAAAAACCAAAAACGATAATAGTAAATGCTTTCAAACTGCAGAGTACACAGATAAATGCAACCAGTTCCAACTTTTTTTCTTTTATCTTGGGAAAAAATTAGATGCTCCATTTCCTAGGGTTCACCTCCTATTATGAAAAGGAACCGCACAGGCCCTGACTGTGGGCAGCCCTGACCACAGCCTGGCGAGCACGCTCGTTTTTCAGGAGGCGGCCCAGGGAGGCAGAAG